TGCAATTTTGGTCCAAAAATGTCCAATTTTTTTTTCGTAAAACCAGATGTTTGGCAATTTTTGCACCATTTTCTTGGCGCCAATCTGTCGATCAATGTTTAAAGAGCCATAATATGAGAAATAATGTATTTAGAGCCCTAAAAGTTTGCAGATTCATCGGTATGGTGCAACCCTGCTTTGGTAGAACAACACAGACCAGTTGTATGATGGAGCAAACTTGGTCAAACAACGTCCATTTTTTCTATTCCGATTTTCTAACAACCGTAAAACCTGATGTTTTGTCAGTTGTTGCACCGTTTTCTTTTTGATCAACGTCTGAAGAGCCATAACTTGAGAAACAATACATTTAGAGTCCTTAAATTTTGCAGATTCATCGATAAGTCCATGTGGTCTTCAGTGGTGCAGCCCTGCTTTGGTAGAATAACACAAACCAGCTGTATGATGGAGTAAACTTGGTTCAAAATGTCAACCTTTCTATTTTTTTTTTTCCCAAACAGAATGATTTGTCTTCCTGTGATTGGCACCAACAGGAGTTTTACAGAAGTAGAGGATGGTACCAGTCAGAGGCACTTACATTAAATTTATGTGTTTATTCATTTTGCCGAATAGCTTCCAACTTTCCCAGAACAACGTTTCTGCTCTTTGCTAACGAGGTTATAATGAATCCAAACAGATCTGCTTCAGCACTAATGATTCTTCTTTCAACCCAGTGACAACACGATATAACAGTTGGTACTACTGTTGGACCTGCTCATGTTTAAACATCGGCCATAAATGCAAATAATTCAAACTGTTTTTTCTCATGAAGTTCCTCTGATTGGTACCAAACTCTACCAGAGAACAAATCAGCCTCTTATGGTGAAAAATAAAGGTTTTACGGTTTGATACCGGAGTAAACAGAAATATTTAAGCTTTCCGACCAACTTGCTCCATCATACCACTGGTTTGTATTATTCTACTAAAGCAGGCTGAAGACCACGTGGACTTATCAGTGAATCCGCCACATCTCAGGACTCTTCTTAGATTATTTCTCAGCTCTTCAGACATCGCTGGCGCCAAGAAAACGATGGATTATTAGGATTATTTAACTGAAAATCTGATCAACTCACTCGATCTTCGCCACTTTAAATAGAAATAAACTGATCAGACGTTCGGTGAACCGAGGAGGACTGACCCACAAATAAAATAAACACAAACGTCAGGAGTAAAAAAAACCTTATTTAGTGAGTGAAGGTCGTCACCTTGTGGAAGGCTGGTCGGTGGTTCTCCTCGTGCTTCTCCCTGAGAGGAAACCGTCAAACAAGATGAATTAAACGAGGTGAAGTTACGACCTGAGGCTGAACACTTTGTCCACATCGTCTGAACAACTTATTATCGTCTGACTGACTTTCATGTGCAGAAAACTGCAACCAGCATCTTTCCAGGATTAATGCATGACTTTAGGCAGCAGGAGGAACAGACTACCTGGAATCTTTTACAACTTTCTCACCATTTAAATCCGACAGAAGCTTTTCTGTTTGGACGTACGTTTGCAGATCAATCAGATCAAATGTAATAATGTTTTTTTAAACCATAATCCTTCCTGCTTCCTTCAACACCTCCTGCTGCGCTGCGCCGTCGGTACTGACTGGTAGTTCGGGTGCACGGCGTGAGCCATGTCGGCGCTGATCATGAAGGAGCGCGGCGCCGCCTGCTGGAAGGCGGTGAGGTTGGAGGAGGAGGCGGCGAGGCGGCTGAGGATGAGCTCCGTCAGGTTGGACTGAGCTCCCTGGGCGCTCTCTGATCCCACCTACAGAACAGAAACACACTCAGAAAGTGGAAACCACAGCGGTTTTATCTCGTTTTTTCATCAACGTGATGTTTGTTTTGGATTATTTAGCCCTCCTCCGTCGCAGAGTTTCACGTTTTATCCGTAACCTGATGTGATATTTGAGGCAGCGGCGTGCCGATCACCGCCGTCCTCACCGTGTAATCACAGGAAATTGAATCCCACGTCAGAAATTAAAGCGGCTCCGTGATTATATTGGAAATGTGCACGGTTACATCTTGCTTCCTGACATTTCTTCACACATAGAAGCCATTTCTGTGCGTTTTATTAATATTTTCTCATCGTTTAGTCTGTAAACGTCAAACAACACCAGTGAAACTAGCGACTCCTTCACCTCCGACTCCAGAAACATTCACTTCACAGAAAACGGAAGAGAAGCAGGAAATCCTTCTGCAATTAAAGTAATTAATTAAGTTTTTAAGCCCCAAAACAAGCAGCTGACAGAAGAATGGAAGACACAAATAAGGTTCATCGTCAAATTGAGCTTTTTTGAACCCAGATAAAAGCTTTCTGCTATTTTCCACAACACGGTAAGCATAAGCTGTCCTGAGACGTTTGTCGTCCGATAAGTCAGAGGTCGATTCCCCCAAACTGGCTCGTCTTGTTCCATCAACACTCACCTCTTCGTTGTCGTACAGGGTGATCATGCGGATGTTGGGATCGTTGGCCAGAGAGTCTCCAGAGCACGAGTCCACCAGCCCCTGAGAGACAACAGAGACAAAGTCTTACTATTAACACCAATAATCATTTAAAAGAGAGTTTCTTTACAAAGAACGTGATCTGCTTTGCGAGAAACGACAAAAACATTCAGCCAGAGGCAGAAATCGCTGTTGAGTTGATTTCGTTTGAGTCAAAACACTGAAGTTGCATTTAATCATTTCAGTTTTAGGGTTCAGGCAGATGTTCAACCAGACAAACGTCCACTTTTTAGGAAAGAAAAGTGGCTGCAAATAAACCGAAAATGTGTCTGAGTTTGAATCAACAGTGCACGTGTTTCCTCTTCATGCTGAGGTAGAAAAGAGCTGAACGATGAACAGGCGAGGGGCAAATAAAAGTGAAATCTGACCTTCAGGGCGCAGTAGCAGCTGTGCAGATTGTCCAGACGAGGAGAGTAAATGAACTCCTGGTACACGCCTCCTAAAGCCTGCAGCCAGAGAGGACGGAGAAAACAAGTGAATCACATTTAAACACACAATCAGCTCCTCTGACTTTCCTTTCAGTGCGACTTGTCACTTCAGACTTTGTTTTAAACATGACTTGAGCCCCTTTCACAGGCTCAGCACCGCAGATGAACCTCAGAGCGGCTTCAGGGGCTTCAGCCGGATGTGTTTACGAGCTGCAGACTCACCGCCGGCTGCGTGTCGGTCAGACAGAGCTCAAAGTCCAGCAGCGCTTCGGGCTCGACGCCCAGCTCGCTGCACAGAACCTTGACCAGCGCCGGGTGGTGCTTCTCCGCCTGAAGGGGGGAAAAGACGCCTGATTATCGTTTCATCACTTCATCTGACGACCTGAGTCCAAAAAACTGAATTAAATCAAAGCTTGCAGGTTAATGGAAAACACACGACGAGTTAATGTTTAGAGTCTGAGCTGAGTGATGGCGAGCCCGCTGCACAGAAGAACTTTTATCCTTTCCTTAAGTGCACACAAAGCCCGGGCGGCGAGTTTTAAATCTGACATTCTGTGTGTAAATCTATTATTCACCGTTGAAAAAAATAGATTTTAGGAGCATTGAATGAGCTCGAAGCAGCGAAATCCAAAATGATTCCTCACAAGTCTCGTCTCAAAATTCATGTTTTGTTTGACAGTTTGGCAGAAAAACAGACCGGATTTTCCTGAGAGCTCAATCATTCTGGGATTTTAACCCGAACGCTGCACGGGTTGTCGTTTTTGTTACCGTGCTGACGGCCGAGGAGGCGTCTCCGGAGGACGAGCATCCCGTCTCCAGCTCCTCCTGGACGGCCGTGGCGATGATCGGCACCCTGAGACACAAACACGCAAACCCTGAAACCAAAAGCTGTCGGTCGTCGTTTAAGAAAACGTGTGTCCTCTAGTTCGTAGAAGGCGTTACTCTGGAATAACTTGGCAATCGTTCTTTTCTAAACTCCCCAAACCTGGGCGTCTAGGGACGTACAGGTGGTTCTCCTTGTTGGGGCCGAAGGAGTCGTTGATGTCGCGCTGCAGGTGGATGGCCAGGTGAGGGATCCTGAGCAGAGGCCTGGGGACGTGGACCAGCCGCTGGACCAGCCGGCCGTCGCTCTGCAGGAACAAGAATCACACTTCTGTCACGTTGAGAGACTTTATTTGCTGAAGACTTAAACTGACTGTTAGCATCACTACGGTCTAACTGACGGTGTGTGGACTCGTCTGCGGTACGAAAAAAAAGAAATCTGAGGCTCTAAAGAGAATAACGAGGTGGAAACACTGGGCTGCTTGCATTAATCAGCCAATCACCTTTCTGTTTAACCTCACGGTCAGTTTCTTTAAAAAAAAAAAATAAAAAATTAAAAAGTTGATCTTAATCCAGATTTTTATTATTTTCTTCCAGTCACAAGAGAAATAATAATAATAATAATTAGCACAACTGTAGGATGTTTAAAGTCAGAATTCTTCTTCTATATCTGAGCTTTCTCTGATTGTACATCAGTTCATGTGGCATTAAAATATATATAATAATATTATTCTTTATTTACAGTTTTTAAAATCTAATATTTTTAAAAAATAACTGTAATAAGTCCAGTTTTTATTTACTGTCTTAGATTATTTACATTTTTAAAGTAAACTTTTAAAAATGCTTTTAAATATTTTTTAATCAACTGTTGAATTTTAATCCATTTATGCTTTTTTAAAAATAAATATACTTGTGTCTTTATTCCTCCTTATTTTTTTAGCTTCAGTGTTCTCCAACCATTTATTAATATTTTATTTTGTATTTGTACGTTTTATAAAATGTTTTTTCAAATTCATTTTGTGTTTTTAATTATTTTATTTGCATTTTAAACATCACCTAAAACCCAAATTAGTTTGTACGGCATGAAAAACAAGTTTATTTTAAATTTTTACACATTTACTTTAAGCTGTTGTTTAAAAATATTTTTCTCTTTTATTTCGTCTAAATTATTGTACCTGTTTTCTAACATTTATTAATATTTTATTTTTTATTTGTATATTGTAAGTTTTATTAAAAGATTTTTTTTCTAATGTATTTTTGTTTTTATTTATTTATGAGCATTTTACAAATGACCTCATTTTATTTTTGGTATTTTGTCTTGCTGTCTGTTCATCGTCCAGCCCGTCTTTACCATCTAGTGCCTTCAAACAGACTGACGAGGTGTAAAAACGCACATTCATCAGTCAGACATGATTCTGACGGCGCTCACTGTTTGTTTTTGTTTTATAAAAATACCAAAAATACCTCAAATAATTAATCTGGGCTTTGTCTATCAGCAGTAAAAAAAAAAAAAAAAAAGCTGAATTACTTTCTTCCAGTCACATGAAAAATAACTGGTGCATCTGCTAAATATTTAAAATACAAATTTCAATTTTATATATATATTTTAATTGTTTTATGTGACACTTAATCTTTAATATGAATCCATGTATTTTGTGCTGTTTTTCCCAAAACATTTATTTATTTTTTTTGACTTCTTTAATTGCTCTTTTTAAAATAGTTTTAACTGTTTTCTAACTAATTAATTAATTAATTAATTAATATATAATTTTGTATTTCTATCGCATAATATAAGTTTTAATAAACAAACAAACAAAAAACAAGATGTTTAAAATTAAAATTGTATTTCCTAAAACGAGCTTGTTTTATAAAACCGTCTTCCACACCAGCAGCTGAACCTGAACGTTGTAGGGACGTTGTGTTTGTGTTTCCGTCCCGGTACCTTGACCATGACGCGGCCGGCGATGGTCAAGTCGCGGTCGAACCAGGTGTTCCAGATGCCGCCGCCGTAGCACTCCACCCCGACCTGCAGGCAGCCCTGCTTCGTCCTCTTGGACCGCGGCTTCACCTGGAAGCACAAACACTCCGTAAACAAACACCTGATTTTACATCGTTTGCAAATCGTAGAAGTCTAAAATGTTTCTGACTGGATTTCAAAATAAAAGTATAATGAAAATAAAGACGCTGTATAGAAAGTGACCTGAAAACAACTTCCAGTGTCGTCCTGGTTGATATTTGTGATTTTTTTTTCTGATTTTCTGTATTTTTATTGACCAGTTATTGAATTAAATAAACTCTTCAGGTGTGACGCCGTCTCCTCTCTCTGCCAAACGTCTCCAAACACCAACAAACCAGGAAGTTAGCTGCTCTCAATGCTACGCTAACAGCTAGCTGCTTAGTTAGCAGACAGTCGCAGACGATAACTGGTAAACTTAAAAGATCTTAGCGAGCGATAAAAGTGACAGAATATAAAGAAAACAGACAAACTGATCAATCGCTGCTATTTCTATTTTACTTTTTAGTTATTTCCTCGAGCGGATTATTTAAGCGAAACCTGCTTTAGCTTAAATAATCTAATAATGCTAGTTTTTGGGGTTTTATCCAACTCAGTCCAGTCCAATATTTATATTTTTGGATTCGTTTTGCAGTATTTGTGCCCAGTTAAAACCGTTTTTATCCGTTTTTAAATTTAAGAACGTGTATCTGGACACCTGTTTGTATATTTTTCCAATATAAATGCAGGATTTTAAAATTTCTTTTATTAGGATTCAAGGCTTTTATTGGTCAAAAACACAATTACACAGAGTAAGAATAAAAAGAAGGATAGATAGATAGATAGATGGATAGATGGATAGATGGATAGATGGATAGATGGATGGATGGATGGATGGATGGACGGACGGACGGACGGACGGACGGACGGACGGACGGACAGATAGATAGATAGATTTATTATAAGCTCAGCCACTGAGACAAGTTGAAATCGACAAAATTAATAATAAATAAAAATGTAATGAACATCATGACGTTGTTTTTGGATTGTGGTTCAACAGAAATATAAAAACATATAACATATAACAGCCTGATGGAGCCGTGAGCTAATATTTAGTTGAACCCTCTGAACCAATCGCTGCTCATCAGTAGTGCTCTAAATTAGTTTTTTAAAATTATTCTTTTCAACCACAATTCAAAGCAACGTCTTATTTCACTAAAGTATAATTTAGCAAATTTTTTATTTATTATTACTTTGTTCAGTTTCTGGTTATTTGAGTGTAAATTTAGCCTTTTCTTTAATTGAAGGGTGTGAATACATCTGAGGACGACTGTCGCTCCAACAAGCCGGATGTTTGTCGTCTATGTTGTACTTTTGTCGTTTGGTTTTGCATCACAGCGTTTCTTTCGGCTTCTGCACGCTCATAAAAACCACCAGCGCCACTTCACTCGGCCGCCTCAGCCGACTTCACATCCGGGGCGCTGCCAAGGTGTGTGTGTGAGAGCAGGTGAAGGGGGCGGAATCTCACCCGGAGGCAGGGGCTGTCGGTGTGCGCTCCGATCATGGAGAAGCCGTTCCCCGGCTGGTAGCGCCCGCCCACGGCGAAGGCGATGACGCTGGAGAAGTTCCTGGTCACAAAGTACTGGAGACACAGAAGTTTGTTCAGGTTTGATTCACGCGTGGCGGGTCGAGGATGTCGTGTCTGGACAGGCTCACCTTGTTAGACGGCGCTACGCTCCACTGCTCCGTCTCCTTCAGCTCCACGAAGCCGGCCTCCAGCAGCCGCCGCTTGCATTCTTCGACCACTGCAGGAGGAAGAGTCACCGTCAATCTGTCCGACTGTTTGTCGGTTTGATGAAAGTCGGAGCGATTTGTCACCGACGCTGGAACAAGCTTCCACCAGAATGAACTTATGTGGTTGTGACACCGAAGTGCTGAAGAACTTTAGCTCAGCATTAAGTTACTGCCACGGAAAAAGTTTTTAGTCGCACTCAGGACAATTTTAAAGCGTTTACACTGATTTTCCGACTCTTTTATGAGTTTTCGTGGCACTAAAACGACTTAATATCGCAATAATCTTTATTTATGGAGCACTTTTCAAAGTCCACATGACTTTAAAACGGTTCAAACTGCTTTTATGTCGTGTTTAATCCTTGTTTTTTTTGTTTTTACAGCTATTCAGTTAATTTTTCACCAACATTTTATTGTCATTTTTAACCCAGCGGTTCTCAAACTTTTTGAGCCACGACCCCCAAGACAACATGAGTTAGTGTTCATGATCCCCTGGTCTGAATTTGTATGATATCATGAGTAATAAGTGTGTTGTTTGTGCGTTCATGCGTTAATGATTAACGTGTTAATTCCACAGATTCATCTCTTCACATTAACACGTTCATTTTCTTTTGAATGAGTTGATTTTTTTTCTTTCTTTTGAACAGGTGAAAAGGATATTAGAACCAAAGGAAATTTTTAAAAGGGGTTTTAAAAATAATTATTATATCACATAATCAAATCATGATATTAGCAAGTTCAAAAAAGGAGTGGGAGGAAGCAAACACTTTTAACTTTTACAGCCCTAATACACATTTATTTGATAAATGTAGGCTTTATTTATTTATTTGTTTTTCTAAAATGATCTGGTGACCCCCTGAAGTTATCCCCAGTTTGAGAACTGCTGCTCGAACCACTTATTAATATTTAATTCTGTATTGGTTTTGTAGGATGGAAGTTTAATCAGCTGATTTGCTCTCTAGTCTGTTTTCTCAGACATATCTTATAAGTCATCTGGTTTTATTTTGGGTGTTTTCAGTGCGTCCTGCCGTCCGCTCACCTCCCAGCCTGCGTTTAAAGTCGTGGTCCTTCTTCAGTCGCTTCGATTATAAGTGACACATAAATAAAATGATTGACCGACGCAGACCGAGCAGGAATCTGAGAACTGACTGGAAAATACCGAATAAACCGGTTGAGCAAGTTTCACCACATTTAAGGATGATTTAACGGCTGCATTTTAATCATTTTATTCCACAACAATCACGCGACTCCTTCAGACGTCGAGCTTTTTTGTCGTTTTACTATTTTCTGAACCACCACAACGTTCGCAGGTTTGTTTTCCGATCGACTAATAATTTCAGATCAAAAAGCTGCTCTCGTCTTATTCGTACCACACATGTATTTCTGAATAACACTATTTGTGACTCTCAAGAGGTCAGAGGCCAAAGGTAGACGTCTCTATCGCAGATCTGCTCCACGTTAATCTTATCTCAGGCTTAAAGTCGTCTGTTGAACTGATCAGCGTCTCCACTCGTTAACGCTGACACACGCAAGTCTCTTTGATTTCTCAAGAAGAGAATCTCACGCCAAACGGCCGGCGGCTTATTGCTGTCTCTCTTATCAACCTTCTGTCTTATCTCAGCAGGACTTTTAATAATGAATAATCAGCTTTAGGGTGTTTTGTAGGCCAAAAAAACAAGTTATTAAACTATTACATTTACCAGGATGTGCTCTGAGTCTGTTAGTCAGTCATATTAATGATCATTTTAATCTTTTTGTAAGCAAAAATATCAATTATTTGCTTTTATTTTTACTTCTCAGGCATCTTTTTTGACTCTCCCCTCAGAGTAAACGTAGTGTTTGGGTTTTGCAGAGTTCATCAGAGAATACCAGGACATTTAAACACTGCTTGCACCTAATTTCTCCAGGTGTAACATCGCAAACGAATGACTGTCCTGTCGACACACCACGGTGCAGAACTCCAGCTCGCTTTTCAATACACAAGATAGAACCAAAAAGTCTTTGTTTTCCTTCTACGTTTACAGTTTTAGCAAAGCAGCGTTTATGTTTTCAACACATGTGGCTTATTATATTGTGTAGCTGGTTGGACATTTAACAATAATACAGAATAAGATTAGAATAATAGTGTCTCTGATGTAAGCGAAGGGGCTTTAAATTATAAGATTTTTGAATGGAGTTTGGTCTGATGCTTCCCACAATAGTATCATGGCATATATGTTGACAGAGGAGTGAAAATGCATTGAAATAAGCTTGAACATGCATTTAAGTGCATTCACATGTATTTAAAATGTGAATTTCCAGCATTCAGCACAGAGAAGTCAGTGATTTTAAGCAGCTTTCGCTAAATTTAAGGTATAAAATCACAGTTTTTCAGACTTTACCGTGATATGGAGACACCCCTTTGTTGACAAACTGCAGAAACTCTCTGGCTGCTGACTGCACCGCATCCCTGGAGCTCTTCATGATCAAAGACTGAAGGAATTAAGAGCAAAACAAGGAGTCAATGACACAACTTAATGACAAACAGCAATGAGACAGCACAGCTAGCAGCTACCGGCGACTACTTCCAACTTCGGACGCTGAACACGAGACTCCAGACTTTGCTTTCACATTAGCGGAAAAGGAATATCCGGAACTCAGACGCGAATAAAGCGGAAACAATCACAAAAAGGAAATAAACTACAGCTGAAATCTACTGTAAACAGGAAACAGCCGCGTCAAGTCGGATCCTGTCCGATAAAGGAAGCACCGGCTGTTAGCAAACCTTTGCTAGCTAACCTGAACGGGAAAACTCGAGACTTGTGCCTCGTCTTCTTCTCGCCTCTTCCTCTGCCGGCCAAAGTCAAAGCAGCTCTCAGTGACGGAGCAACACCTCCACATAACGAGCCGACACTACTCATTTTTATGGCACTTACCTGCATTAATTGGACTTCTAAACTCCGCCGCCGTGAGACAGCCAGCAACTGACAGATTAGCAGCAGCAGCGACACACACGCAGTTTACTGTTTACAGGCGAAGAGCGGCAGCGACACCCGGCGGCCGGGAGGCGCATTACACCCTCTACAGTTTCACATTTTAAAATAAATTACTGCCTCAAACTTTGTTATTTTGCAACTTTAACTTCAGTAAATATACTTTAATCTGCTCTAAACACCAAAACCACGATCATATAATTCCTGTGGGTTTAAATATATATGTGATCGATACAATAAACTGAATTGTGCAGCGACTTTATACAAGATAAACTTTTTTGATACCTCATATTTATAACGATAAAATCTTTTTTATGTATTAATAAAATGTGCAGTTAAAAAATAATTTTAATTAATTTGTTTAACTTATAGTTTTGCACCATTTGCACTTCAAAACACTAACACATGAGTCATGTTGTATATCAAGGAGCTGACGTGACATCATAAAAACCAGGGAAAAAAAGTCTTCTTTCTTATATTCGTGCAATTTAACATTTGGTAAGTCTTTAATGCATGTTGCGTATTACGCTCAGTGGATTTCTAGATAAATATGGAACTGCTGCTAGTGATATAGAAGTTTATTATTATAAACTGTATTGTGCATTACATTTCATAATATAATTTTATCATAATATTATTTGTAATCATAAAATATTTTGTTTTTTAAAATAAAATATACATTTTTTAAAAATACATTAGATTTTTTTTTTGTTATATTTTACTTACATTGTGCACCATTTGCAAACCAGCCCAATTAAATCTAATAAAAATGCAAGTAAAGGTGCATTGTAAGGATTCAAGAAGTCAATAAAACAAACTAATAAAAACAAAACTTATGTTATTGCATGTGCTGCTGCATTCAACTAGTAAATGTGTAACAGTTTATATGGCACTAAAATAAATTAAATCAAAAATAATATTAACAAAAACCATAACAATCTTTATCGAGCACTTCTCTGAGTTTATTTTTTTTTATGTAGTATCTTATAATTTTTGTTATTTTCTTCTTTTATTTATATATTACACTTACTCCGCTATTTTTTGAACTCATAAATGTGTAGTGCTGCTGTTTAAAATCGTAATAAAGGTAAAAAACAAACAAGTTCTCGCGACACAAAACAAGAATTTGAACCAAGAGCATCAGAATCTACGAGGCTTCGACTAAACGCACCTTATTCGGACTGTTTGCATCGTTTCTGATCGATTATTTAACAACGCTGTGATTTTTTGTGACATCAGTGATGAGAAATGTTTAATTGAGCAGAATAACCGAGCCGGCCCTCCCTCGTTTTTTTTTCTCCTTTGGTGTAATTTTCTATCTGAAAACCTCTGTGTTTACTCTCCGTCTCCCCCCTGAGCAGGCGGCGGCCTTATAAAGCCCTGAGGAGGCAGAAAGAGGAGGAGATGTTTACTTCTGCTGTCTTCAGCCTCGTCTCTGCTGCTCTTGAGGAAGCCCAGAGGGAGGAAAACGAGTACGATTCAGTTTCTATTATTAGATGTGAGAGTAACAGGGTGCAGTGGAAGTGCTGAACACGTTGGGATCATATGGGAATGTCTCCAAACACACCAGAAATACAAGGATTTAATGGTGTCCTCTTAGTAAAAATAATAAGTTGTACATTAATTTACATTCAAAGGGGTAAAACTAATACACAGTTTGTTGTTCTACAGGTTGAATTCAAGACATATTTTCAGGAGCCTGTATTGTTCCAAAAAGCGATCATCTGACAGAAATGTGCATGAAAGTCTACAGCTTTAGATTTATCTCTGGAGCTTTTCTTGCAACACAATAACTGCCATCCCCAGTGTTTTAATTTCCTTTTATGTGCACAATATTTACCATCATAGGCATTATTATAGTGTTGTTTCTGTTGTCTGTGGAGATGAGCGGCTGTATTTAATATGATGAGTTTTGCATGTCAAATAAACAAACCATCTGCTTTGCAATTTGGCTTCTAATCTTTAAAACAGAACTCTAATGAATGAAATCAGCTTTAATGGCCACGTACATGCACAACATACAAGAAATTTGGTTTTGGCTGTTGGTGTCGCCCAGGAATGAGCAATGGGAAAGAAAAAGAAGAAAAGTGAAATAGAAAGAAAAAAATAAAAACAATGATAAATAAAATAACAAATATATTCAAGAATATACACATCTGAGCAGAAAAAAGTCATTTTTATTCATTTAATTACGCCATTTTAAAGTATTAAACAGATTTCAGCACTTCCTGGCAAGTGGAAAACCGCATTATATTAGTTGTATTGGTCTTTTAAAGCTACCAACATGTGAAGAAAAAATATGTATTTTATATATATGTGATTCACTTGTACAGTATACATTTATATTATTTTTTATACTTATATTTTCAGGATTTTTTTTTTTAAACTAATGCTTAAATTTCTTAGACTTTGACTGGGAGCAACTACACCGGAAGTATTTCTGGTCATGTGGGGTAATAAACACACACATGCTTATTTTTGTGTAATCACGCAGCTTTAATTATCAGCTGGAGGCAATCAGACCTTTTTGGCAGCTGGCGGACACCATCATGGTTCCTCCGCTTCTTCTTCGCCTTCACGAACCAGCCTCGTAAATACTTCCACGTGTCTCGTCCTTCTACAAACTGAACGCGACTTCTCTCCACGAGTTGTTGCACGACGTCCTTGTACCGCTTCCGCTCCGGGTTGTACAGGTGCGGACACCTGCGGACTCACCTGCACAGCCGCTTCTCAAAGTTGGCCATTTTTGGCTGCACGGCGCATGCGTAGAGTGTGGCAAGGAGACCGCGCGGAACAAATCGGACATCCGTGATGCAAAACATCAACAAAGACAATATAAAGACAAAAGAGTAGCAAAATAACTACAAAGAGACTCAAAACGAATGCAAAAGGATGCAAAACAATCACAAAAAGATATAAAATGATCAGAAAACGGCTGTAAACTTTCAAAAAGAGATGCACAACATGCACCAAGAACCCACAGTGAGGGTCTCAAAATGACCACAAAGGACGGCAAAATGATCACAAATGGTCTAAATGCAACCAAAAAGAGATGCAGAACAGCAACAAAATAAAATATAATGCTATAGATATGTCAAATGAAGGGCCACAGAGACTCAAAACAAGCAGAAAAGCATGCAACATGACCACAGAGAGACTCAAAACAACCTGAAACAGACTGAAAATGACCACAAAGTGTTAAAAAGCAACAACAAAGTGACTCTAAATGACCACAAAGAGATGAAAAACCACCTGAAATAGACTGAAAATGACCACAAAGTGATGCAACCAACAAGAAAGTGACTCAAAACAACCAGAAAAAGAAGCAAAATGATGACAAAGATACTCAAAACCACCAGAAAGAGGAACAAAATGATTAGATAGGGACTCAGATTTGCTGTGTGAGTATTCCTTCACCTGCTCTGTAGCCCACATGACAACCAAACCGCTTCTTTTTATAAATTACAGAAATAAAAACATATAAAGTGAGAAGCTTTTTGTCCAAGCATCATTTATAGAAGCTCACTGGTGCTTTTTAATTGCACTTTATTTAACTAATCAGTACTATTTAATCATCTACTCTGCTGTGTTTTGTCTTTTATACGTTTGAATGTTTTGGGGGATTTACTGTTGGCTTTGTGAACCGCTTTGAATGACCTCTGCTTATGTTCAGGGGTTGGATAAATAAACTTTCTTACTATAAAGGGTTTCAGCAGAAATAAAGGAGGAAACTCAGGAAGATCGTTGAACAAAATCAATCAAGACAAATCAATAAAACCACCAGAAAAAAAACATAAAAACACCAAAAATGCTTCTTTGACAGCAGCTGTTGTCTCTGCCTTCCTTCAGACGTTTGATTCCTCTTTAATCAGACCTATAAAAAGTTCACTCTTCTGCACAGCGCACGTCATTCTGAAGCTGTGTGAAGGATAAAAGAGACATTTTGGATATCCAGAGAGTCAGACGGGGTTTAGCTTCAGCCGGACGTGACTCAGGCGTTGGCAGCTCGGTGCTGGCAGAGGGAAGCCTCCCTTTAAACTCCCGTCGCTGTCAGACATGCTGACGATGTCATCATTACTGGCACACATTGTTTGTGGATGTGGGTTTCTCCTGCTCTGGGAGCGTCTGCAGCCTCTCAGGATGGGATAGTTTTCCTTTTTAAGGCAGGCCAGTCGGCGCTCTCCCCCCTGACGACCTGGGCCGCCTCGCCATGTGAGGACGACACGGAAAGCCACCGTCGCTGCTTCCTCACATTGTTGTGGCATGAGATCACAGAAGCAAAGAGGAGGACATGTTCTCGTGAACCTGTGCGTGCCTCAAGCGTGATTCAACAAAATGACCAAATACGTAGCTCGTCATCGCTTTCCCAAAGGATCCGCGGTGGCGTTCTGCCGTCCGTCAGAGAGGATTCACAAGACGGGTTTCTATCAATAAGTTTGGTTTAGGTATAAAATGTGTCGTTACAGAGAATGACTGGTTAATCACGTTATTACATAGGCTTAAAACAATCACAAAGTTACCACAAAGACACTCAAAACAACCTCAGAAACACTTCAAAAGACCACAGAGAGATGAAAAACAACAACAAAGCAACTCCAGATGATCAAAAATGGCAACGAAGGGACTCAACACCACCAAAAAAAGAATGAATACAACTAGAAAGAGGCTGAAAACCACCAAGAAGGGATGCAAAACATCAACCAAGACAGTCAACGTGGAGACAGAAGAGTTGCAGAACGATGAAAGAGAGACTGAAAACCACCACAAAGGCACAAAATGATCAGATAGGAGCTCAAAATAACTGCAATGACACCCAAAACAAATACAAAAGGATGCAAAATGGTTGCAAAGGGACGCAAAAGAATCACAAAGGGATGCAAAATGGTCAGCAAACATTCCAAAGTAGATGCAAAACATCAACAAAGAGACTCAAGTTGAACCCACAGCGAGGCAGAAATGTTAGATAGGGGCTCAAAATAGCTACAAAGAGACGCAAAATAAATGCAAACGGATGCAAAACGGTTATTAAAGGGACTCAAAACAATCACAATGGGATGCAAAATGATCAGAAAACATTTCAAAGTAGATGCAAAACACGTGCAAAGAGCCTCAAAACAACCACAAACGGTTGCAAAACATCAACAAAGAGACTCAAGTTGAACACAGCGAGGCAGAAATGTTAGATAGGGGCTCAAAATAACTACAAAGAGACGCAAAATAAACGCAAACGGATGCAAAATGGTTATTAAAGGGACTCAAAACAATCACAAAGGGATGCAAAATGATCAGAAAATGACTAAACATTCAAAAATAGATGCAAAACACGTGCAAAGAGCCTCAAAATAAATACAAAAGGATGCAAATTGATTACAAACGGACTCAAAACAACCACGAACAGATACATTAGCTAAAACTCAAAATGGCTGCAGAAGATTGCAAAAAACCAAACAACCCAAAAGTGAAATTTAAAACAACAACCAAAAAGAGACAATAAATAGAAGCCAAATAACCCCAAAGAGAAGCAAAATGACAGAAACTCATCATTCAGGTCATTGTTTGTAGAAACAGCACACAGCCGTTGACCCCTCCATCCACCCCGACCTCCTCGCTCCACCACAGCCAGCTCCTTCCATGCCTTAGATCAGCTGTTCTGGTGCCTGTTCTGACTCTATAACTCGCTGAACAACAGAACGTACGGTTCATAATAAACTCCTTAAAAAGACAACTCCAGTAGAAACGTGTCGCTGCACCTCGAAGCAGCTTTAGCTCGACCAGCTTTTGATTTGTTTTTGAAGAAAATAATGTTGCGCCTTCGTCCAAAAGACTGAACTGCAAAAATCTACAAGAGGTCCAGAGTCTTGTTCTGCCACGATTTGGTTTCAACAGAGAATGAAAGACTCTTTATGTTGAGTTTTAGTTGTTGTTTGATGCGTTTTGAAGTGTAGATCATGTGAAAGGAGTTAGGAAGGAGGTTTGATAAAGTGGAGAAAGAGAGAAGAACCAGAGAGCAGAAGGTATGAGAACGTGGGAGGCCAACAGGGAGCAGCAGCTCCAGAGGGCAGTTCTCAGGGAGGAGGGCCCAGACCTGAGGGTGGGGGTAACTACAAATAGCTGGGGGCAGCAGGTTCTTCCTCAGTGCTCGTGTGTGCTGCAGCCCTCACCAGGCTCTCCGATCCCTCCAACATGACCTCCTACAGCTCCTCCGCCCAAACCGCCTCCTCCTACCGCCGCACCTTCGGCCACGGCGCCTACGCCTCGCCCTCCCTCAACCGCTCCGTGCTGGGCCACGGCGGCGGCGGCGGCGGCGGCCACGTCGCCTCCAGGGTCTACGAGGTGACCCGGAGCAGCTCCACGCCCGCCTACCGGGTCTCCTCCAGCTACTATGGCCGGCCGGTGACGAGCTCGCGGGCCTCCGTCGGGCGCTCCTACGCCGGCATGGGCGAGACGCTGGACTTCAGCCTGGCGGACGCCCTCAACCAGGAGTTCCTGACCACGCGGACCAACGAGAAGGCCGAGCTGCAGCACCTGAACGACCGCTTCGCCAGCTACATCGAGAAGGTCCGCTTCCTGGAGCAGCAGAACCAGGCGCTGGTGGTGGAGGTGGAGCGCCTGCGGGGCCGCGAGCCCACGCGCATCGCCGACCTGTACGAGGAGGAGATGAGCGAGCTGAGGAGGCAGGTGGAGATCCTGACCAATCAGAGGTCGCGCATAGAGGTGGAGCGCGACAACCTGGTGGACGACCTGGACAAGATCAAACTCAGGTGGGCGGAGCTACGACGGCAGCGTGGTTCTTTAAGAGGAGATTTTAGGTTGGAGGAAGGTTAGATTTAGGTTGTGAGAAAGTTCTAGTTACGTTTTCTTTTAGTAAAACCTCTAAAGACACCAAAAACCATTAAGTTCTGCAAAGTTGTCGGAACGATCGCAGCGGGAAGTTTTAAATAATAATGTTTTCAAAACGTTTTCTTGATGTTGCGTTGAGAATGTTCCTGCTCTGTTACTAGAACATCAGATTGTAGGAATATGATCTAGAAACACCTTCTGCCTCCTGAAGATATTCTTTCTTTTGTCATCATAATCCGACAACATCCTCCAAACACATTCGGAACGTTTAAACGCTCCCTCATGGTTCACTTTAACCACACAGACGTCTAAAATGATAAATATCCTTAATTCCTGAGAACTTGTCGGTGCCGTTACCTGAAGCTGTTTGCTTCCTACAAACACAATCTCACGTTTGCATGTGTTCCAGCAGTTGTTTGTTTGTGTTTATTTCCTCCTCTCTTGTTTGTTTACCTCTGTGGGACTGAGCGATGACGTGTAGCTGCGTGAAATCAGTTTTATTTGATCAAAACGATGATAAAAACTTTAACCTTTGAAGAAACAGCGGACAATAAATAGAGTGTGTGTGTGGGCAGAAATGAGAAGGTGGGAGTTAAATTCAAACTAGAAACGGTGATTAAGTGAAGCGTGTTAATATCCCGCCGACCACATGAGGAGGAGGAGGATGGACGGAGGCTGCTGGAGCCCAGGGAGGCGTCAGCTCGTGTTTGTTGTAGTTACAGGAAGTATTTTTAAACCCCGACGGTTTTCACAAACGTTTCTGCGTGTGTTCGGTTTCGCAGACTGACGACGGAGGCAGTGAACGGTGCTTTTTGTTTAGAATATTCTATATTTACAATTAATATGATAATATATCACGATTCCTGATGTAAAAAGATGTCAGAGAAGATTGTGGATGAGTCAGTGTCGATGCCGTGGGAGGAGGTTTTATCTAACCAGGCTGAGCTTTAGCTGCTGGTGGGTGAATGACACTTAGCGTCTAACAGAGTGTTTCTGGTAGGAGGCGAATAAAACTATTAGAAAATAATGAAATAATGCAGCGGGACCAGAGGATCATAGAAAGTCCTGGATATATGAAAAAAAAAAAGGCTTAAATCAAAGGATAAGGCATAGAATTAATGATAATAATAATAATAATAAGAATAAACATCAAAATTAATATTTCAGTGAGTATGTTGGCTAAAAAAAAAAAGTAAAGTAAAAAAAAAATAATCTAAAAACATTAATGACAAAAAACAGTGAAACTGGGAACAAATATATATTTTTTTGTTCTTTGCCAAACTGATATTAAAGTTCTAAAACTACATTTTTATGCACTTTAAGGATGTTTATTGACTATTTATTGACTGACTTTGCACAAAACGTAAATGTAATCCGAGCAGCCAAGAGGACTGTGTTTAAGAATTAGCAGCATTAGCTAACAAAAGATGCTCTTATTTTAGTTTCTTAAAGATTAATAAATGCATCTAGTAACTGAATCACTCGAAATATGTCACCTAAAGTAGCTTAATATAGAAATATCACATATTTGTCAGTAAAGTTGAAGGCGCTAGAAAGGGCCGTTACTGCTAGTCCACTAAGCTAGGCTAATTAGCTTGTAGCACCACTCGCTAACTAGTAACTAGTGCTACTTTTCCCATCGTTATGATTAGATTCAGCTGAATTATTTTAGTGATATGACACACTCGGATGCTGATTTTTGTTTTAAATAATAAAACTGGGGAAAAAATTGGCACATTAGCTCAAACTAGCGCTAGCTCACCGGCTAGCTCTAGCTAGCCAGAGTGCAGCGGCTGCTGATTGGTTTGTATTTTTACTTTATTTCCACAAAAACCCCACATTTCTACAAAAACACAATGTTTAGCCCTTGTGGTAACAATACATGTCAAAAATTCTGTTTTAGTTTTGTATTTTAGATTTGTAGGAACGTACTTCTAAAGCTAGTTAGCATGCTATCTAAAGTCAGAGTTCTAATCTGTAGGCCTATTATAGTATAAATTATGCAAACTTTTACTTTTAATATTGTCATGTTTTTCTGAAAATTATGATAATGACATACTTTTAAAATTACTTTTTGCTACCGCTAGCCTAGCCATTCCTGCAAGATGATCAAATTAATGCACCGAAACAAACGTGAACGCAGATTTTCTCCTATAATATCTTGCATGGTGCAAAACAACGACTTAAAAGTTAATTTATAGCACAGATAGAAAAGGAATAATGGAAGCATGTTGCTGCAAATCAAAAGGACAAAGACCGAAATGCAAAGATTTAAAATAGGCTGATAATTATGAAGCCATTCAGCAAAGCTCCAGCAGATATAAATACGCCAACACGCCACAGCTTATATTTAGACCCGACAATGATGCTCAGGTTGAAACAGCCGCATGACAAAGCTCCTGTTTCTGCATTAACTAGAGATGTGACACATTTCTAAGCTTCCTTTTCCTGATTTGAAAGATTCTCCTGCAGCATGAGGATGATGAATTAACCGACGTGTTGCCGCCCGACTCTGACCAAAGTTAGTCGTCATCTCGCACCGTGTTTACGCCGCCGTCTTCTATAAAAGGAGAGGAAAGAGCTCGGACATATCTGAGGGATCTGCGGCGATCTGTCCTTTCTCCGTTTACATTTGAAGTGCCAGTTTTGTAAAGATTCAGAGAGAAGACGGCGCTACCGCAAAGTAAACATCAAACAGCGGCGGGAAGGAGCTCCAGAGCGCCCTCACTCAGCTGGAGGACGTCCTGCTCAGTCTGTCCTCAGAGCATTTTGATTTAAAGACGCTTTTGTGCCTCGTTAAAAACAGAAATGTCACCTGTTTATTGTGTTTCAGTTCAGATCATTTATGTTCTAAACTAGCCTGAATCAGTGAAGCGTGATCAGAACCAGTGAGCTCAGTGGATTTACATTTAAATAAAGTGCATTGTTTAGGTTGTTTCTTGTGTTATATTTGAATTGAGTTGCTTCCTGTGTGGACACCAGCATTTACACTTTCTTTAATTTAAATTATAGTCTGTATCGTATAAATGTCGCTCTTATGATTTATCAGCAGTTTATGAGGTAGAAATGTGTTTTTAAGAGCTTCTTTTTTGACATTAAATGCTCATTTAAACAAAAAAAAAGTCACCTTTTGCTCTTTAAACCATTCAGTTGAAGCGTAGTTATGAGTTTGTTGCTTGGTAATGAATTGAAAGAGCTGCTTAAAGCTTAAGTTTAATGATACGTTTTCTTTGTGTCGCCGTTTTCCAGACTCCAGGAGGAGATTCTCCAAAAAGAGGACGCAGAGAACAACCTGGCTGCTTTCAGAGCCGTAAGTCCTGCACGAAGCCCTCCTGATCTGTGATCGGTAGAGCACATTAAAAACATTATTTAAACTCATATTAAAGGAGGACATCTGCACAAACTTCACTGGAATGAAAAGATGCAGCACCTTCACTCAACGTCATGCAGCAAAAAGCCGATTAATGAGGCTGCTGCTTCAGCAAACGAAGGCAAAAATCAGAATATATTCAATAATTTGTTTGTGAAATGTAATAAAAGGGAGAGAAACCTCTTTTTAAAATAACATTCTACAGACAGAAAGATGAAAAAGGGGCCAATTTACTTACAGTAGTGTTATTTTGGATGTTACTAAAAGTCAGTAGTTGGGGTTAAATTGCATTTTTATACAAACTTATTCGTGCCAAAGTCAAACTGATGGTAAGCTTTGGGATTTAGGAGTGAAATTAATGCACGCACACGTAAAATATTTCACTTTATGAGCAACGATTTGTCCTGATGAAGGTCTAAATATGTGTTTAAGTCGCAGGATTGTAAGAACAAAGTTATTTAAAGTCTACTTTTGTGATTGTTGGACATTAATCCTTCATATATATGTGTGTGTGTGTGTGTGTGTGTGTGTGTGTGTGTGTGCAGGAGGTAAATTGGTTTTATTTCTTCTACAGCCGACTCATTTCAAGTGATGCATCTTCAAGTTAAAGTCTTTTTTTTGCTTGTTTCCAGGTCTGATCGTTTATAGTCGTCATTATATCGGCTCACTGTTGGAATATTCTGAGTTATTTCCAGTAGACCAGGTTCGTTCCTCCAGAAGCAGAACTCTAACCCTCCCTGTGGAACCTCTGCAGGACGTGGACGCTGCCACTCTGGCCCGTCTGGACCTGGAGAGACGCATCGAGACGCTGCAGGAGGAGATCGCCTTCCTGAAGAAGATCCACGAAGAGGTTTCCTCCTTTCTCACCACCTCTCACTGCATCCGTCAGCGCTTTAGCAGCTTCTGCCTCGAACAGACGTCACAGAGAAACACAGAAACAGGCTCATGTCGGTGCACAGGTTGACAAAGTGTTCAATTACTGAGGCAATGGGAAGGAAATGAGTCACAAATCGTGACTTTAACAAACAATTTAGGAGTCAAAGAGGCTTCAGTAAAAACGCTTAAAGAACAAACAGGCGTCCCAAGATTAGGGATGAACCTGTGATGCGTTGCAGTCGCTCAGCATCTGTCGTGACATCTGACGTGTACAGTTTCACCCACAAAGCCTGCACGCCGGCAGCAAATCTCCCGCAGCAGATGCACGACTAAAATGACTCTGCAGCGGCGGTAGAGGCCGTCGCTCAGCAGCACAGGCCTGGTTCTGTGTTTCCAGCCCGGAGGGTTTGAAATGTGACGAGACGAGTCTGCAGCCAGAAGGATGCGTTCAGAGAGCAGCAGTCAGGCTTTGAGCTGCAAAATGCAAAAGAAAAAACAGTCAGAAACGATTCCTTCAAGCATCATTGGCTGCGTTCTGTTTAGCTTTTGCTGCTGATGTGAAGCTGCACAACGTAGTTTATGACACATGTGGCTTCAGCTGTTAGAGAAAGTTTTCTGTTGTTTCTTGGACAGAAGTTTAAAAAAAGGAGGCGTTGATATGGAATTTAAATATTTATCAGTTTCCATCCGAGTTAACTCATCATGAACAAATTCATATTCTGTACATTTCCCATTTACAGCATATCCAGGATTCATTATGTCCCATATTTGTTTATTCTCATCACATTTCAGAGGCATTTGAAGCCATTTTTGAGTTTTGTTTGGCAACAACAAGCAGCAACTAAAATGTTTTTTCTGATTTGTTCATTCAGATGTTTTTCATAAAATCTCAAATTTATGATTTCACGATCTTGGAAAATATTTTTATTCGTTTATTTTTAAATCTGGGAGTTTCTTCACCACTTCAAAGTCACAGAATATTTTTTTCTTGCACATTTACAAATTTTATTTTAAGAAAAAAATCTTGTAAACTATTTTTTTTTTCATAAATTAATACTTTAATCTTCCAAAAGTTTTTTTTCTGATAAATTTTAGAGTTTTTTGCACATTTTACAGTTTTAATCTGTGCTTTAATCAAAAAACAATCTCAGTTTATTTTATTTTTTGTAGACATTTATGAATTTTAACAGTAAAATATTTTTTTTCCCTCTTTAATCTCTAAAAGTTTAATCTCTTCTTCTGGTAAATCCACAGTTTTAATCTCAGAGAAATCAAAGTTTTTCTTGTTGTGAACTCGTGTCTTTAATATTCAACATTTTTTCTCATGAATCAGTTTTTTTTTGTCTCATAAATTAGTTTTTTATTGTAAATTTACCACTTTAATATCAGAGAGTTTTTGTCAATTTCATTTTTTTTCATGAAATCGTCCCTTTTCTTTTCCAGCCTACAACAGCTGCACACTCACGACATTTTTGTGCTGCAAGAACAGACGCACACAAAGTGAATATATATGCAAAACAACAAAAACAGTTAATTTCTTCATTATGTTGATTAATTCAGAGGCAATCACGTGTTCTCTGAAATGTGTCTTCTGTTGCAGTTTGGTTCATTTAGATGCAGAATTTCAGCGTTAAAGTCTGAAATGTGACCGACGCAGACGTTTAGCAGGTCATCGTGGTCGTTCCCTCATGGTTTCATGTTGGTTTCCAGGGTTTTATGGTGGACATGTGCACACAGACAGACAGACCGACACAAAGCTAATCCCTTTAATCTCGTCTGTACTCTGCAGACAAATGCACATAAATCCAGCCGCCATTCTGCACAAACACACACAGCTCCAGCTGCTCACCTCCTTCCTCCTCCTCTTCCTCCTCCTCGTCCTCCTGCAGGAGATCCGTGAGCTGCAGACCCAGATGCAGGAGACCCAGGTCCAGATCCAGATGGACATGTCCAAGCCGGACCTGACGGCGGCGCTGCGGGACATCAGAGCTCAGTACGAAGGAATCGCCGCCAAGAACATCGCCGAGGCTGAGGACTGGTACAAGTCCAAGGTCAGAGACAGATGTTCTCAGTGTGCTGCAGCTGCCGGGTCGTTTCACTGATCCGTTTCTGTTTTTAATAAGAATCTGGGCCTGAAGGTTTCCCCATCCAACCCTAAAACCACGGAAATAACAGTCCTGAATGCCAGTAAAAGCTTAAAATTAACTAAAAATATTGAAAAACTATTGATTAAAACAGTGAAATACCAAATGAAAGTTATGTGCTGGAAGCTAACGGTGAAGTTTAAACAATTCTTCAGTCCATCAAACAACTACAAGAGGCGCTAAATAGATATAAAACAGCCACAAGGAGATGAATAATGACCCAGAACACACACAAAGTAACAACTAAAGACACGCAAAACTAGGACGAGGCAGAAAACGAGTCCAAGAAAGGAAAAAAACTACACAGAAAATAAGCGACCACAAGTCGACCCCAGGAGATGCAAAATGACTCATGAGACACATACCAATCATAAAGAGGCAAAAAAAAACTACCACAAAGGAGTGAAAATCCACATAAAACGTATGTAACAGACACAAAACAGTCAGAGCTCGATGCAAAACAACCATAAAGTGCAAAAACCAACCACGAAGAGGCAGAAAGTGACCATGAGACACGACAAAAAATAATAAGACACAAAACAACCTCAAGGAGACGCAAAATGACTCAAGAGACACAAAACAGTCACAAAGAGGCGAAAAATGACACCAAGACGTGAAAAACGACATAAAACAGAAACAAAATGATCCCAAATAGACGCAAAATGATGTAAAAGACACAAAACAATCACAACTAAGTGCAAAACAAACATAAAGAGGCAAAAAATGAAAGAAAAAAAAAGCTAAATTACAACGATAAAGACACAAAACAACTCCAAGCAAATCCAACATGACTCAGGAGACACACAACGAGATGCAAAACAACCATGACGTGCAAAAAACTATTGATAAGGACCAAGAGGTACAAAAAAAGACCCTAGACACCCAAGACTACACAGAAGAAGAACAAAACGACCACAAACAACCTGAAGGAGGAACAAAACAGCTGAAAAGACACAGAAAAGAATCCTAAAAATACACAAAAACAACCTTAAATGGGTTCAAAATGGCACCAAGGCACAAAAATATACACATAAGAGAAATAAAATGACAGAAAACAACATCACGGAGACGCAAAATGGCTGAAAAGATGCACAGAACTATCATAAAGAGACGCAAAACAACCAGACAGGTGCAAATGTTAAGAAAAATGACCCTGAAGTCATGAAAAAACTACACAAAACAGACACAGAACAAACCGAAGGAGATGAAACTGATTCAGAAGGAAAAGAAAAACAATTAGAAGAGATGCAAAACTAAACAACCCCACAGAGACACACAACACAATCATGAAGGAGCTAAAACTGGCCCTGAAGTCATGAAGAAGGTCGTAGAAGAGACAGAACATGACGAAAACAATCACAGAGAGAAAAAACAAACACATGAACATCTCCACAGAGCAGAGTCAGAGTGACACCAAACATCTCCACAGAACGGTGAGAAACCGAACCGTGTGTCTGGACTTCCAGCTCCTCGATGCCAGAGGCCTTCGTGGTGATGCTAACATGTGACCTTTGCTGCTGCAGGTGTCCGACCTGAACCAGGCGGTGAGCAAGAACAACGAGGCTCTGAAACAGGCCCGGCAGGAGACCATGGAGTTCCGGCACCAGATCCAGGCCTACACCTGTGAGATCGACTCGCTCAAAGGCACCGTACGTCTCCCACTCGGACCCGTTTGAGCCTCACTGTCCCCTCAGAGTCCAGGTTCTCAGATCTTGAACGGTTTCTTCCCCCAGAACGAGTCCCTGATGAGGCAGATGCGGGACATGGAGGACCGGCACGGCCGCGAGGCCGGCGGCTTCCAGGACACCATCGCCCGGCTGGAGGCCGAGATCTCCAACATGAAGGACGAGATGGCGCGCCACCTCCGCGAGTACCAGGACCTGCTCAACGTCAAGATGGCGCTGGACGTGGAGATCGCCACCTACAGGAAGCTGCTGGAAGGGGAGGAGAGCAGGTGGGTGTTCAAATACAGAATTTAAAGATCCGAAACCAAACAACAAGCTGACTGGATTAACCAATCAGCCGCTAGCGACCCCTACTGGACAGTCAATTAACCAATCAGTGGGAAAGTCTGGGTTTAATAAATATTCATGTCACCACCCAGTTAATTAAAAATGTCTGAATGACCTGGAGCCCAATTAAAACGATCTGCCGGCCGCTACCGTCAGCCTTTACTGTCAAACACTTGATCTGTTTGACGTAATATAAGAATTATTTTGTCAACGTAACCCTCACAGGTGCTTTTAAAATCCTGGCCGTCTGGGCGTCTTAACTGGGAAACAACGATTAATATTTTTATTCCGTCTATCAAACAACTACGAGAGACACAAAATGACGACGCAAAGAGGCCAAAACAGCCATAAAATACGAATATGAGCACAAAGAGGCAAAAAATGACACAAAGACATGAGAATGATCACAAACAAATGTAACACAACCCAAACAGGATGCAAAACGACTTCAGAGACACAAAAAACAGTCATAAAGATGCAAAAAACGATCATAAAGATGCAAAAAACAATCACAAAGAGGTGAAAAATGACCACAAGACATTAAAAAACTACATAAATGTATGTAAAAGACACAAAACAATCATAGCTGGAAGCAAAACCAACCATGAAGAGGCAGAAAGTGACCATTAGACACGAAAAATATGTTTTAAAAAAGCTAAATTAGTACAATAAGACATGTGAGATGCAAAATGACTCAAGAGACACAAAACAATCATAAAGAGGCAAAAAATGACACCAAGACATGAAAAACGACATGAAACAGAAACAAAATGATCCCAAAACAACCCAAAGGAGACGCAAAATGATGTAAAAGACACAAAACTATCACAGCCAAATGCAAAACGAACATAAAGAGGCAAAAAGTGAAAGAAAAAAAGCTAAATTAGCAGAATAAGACATTAAACAAGCTGTAGGAGATGCAAAAATGACTCAAGAGACACAAAACAGTCATAAAGAGGCAAAAAAATACCTCCAGACATGAAAAACTACATAAAACTGAAGTGAAATGATCACAAATGGGCGTAAAACGACCCAAAGGAGACGCAAAATCCTCTAAAAGACACAAAACAGTCACAAAGAGACGCAAAACCAACCATGAAGAGGCAAAAAAAATAAAAATAAAGTGCAAAAACCACCATGAGGAGGCAGAAAGTGACCCCTGGAAGACACGAAACACAGAAATAACAGAAGAAACGTAGCAGGACTGGAAACTTCAACAAGCTGAGGAGGTTCAAACGTCTGCAGAGTCGATGGAAATAAAACCAAAATATGCAACAATATCTGCACTCAAATGAACTAAAACGAAGGAAATAAGAGGATTGTTCTGAATAATATGAACTTTTTTCTTGTAAAAACTGAAGGTTCGAGTTAATTTACGGCCTTTAGAGGCTGAAGCAGCGATGAGGGATTGTTCCTACTCTGACGTTTTCCTCTCGTCGTTGTGCAGGATCGCCTTGCCTGTGCAGACCTACTCCACGCTGAGCTTCAGAGGTACGAACTCATCTGCTGTTCCCTGAACGCACCACTGGAGGGCGCACACTCTTCAGGCCCGAGTCGGAGCAGAACTAACTCCTGTTTCCTGTTGACAGTTTTACATCACGAGTCAGAATTACAAGTCAAAATGTCTTTAAACACAACTCAGATCTGATTTAACACCAAAGTGGATGAAATGTGAAATCTGTCATTTTGTTTAAGCTGCAAATCTCGGCTCCTCTTCGTCACTTTTAGCAAACACTTTGATCATCATTTATTTTATTAGTTCTGCTGCTTTCACTTTAACTCACCTGCTCAGTTCTTCAATCAGTCGTCTGAATATGAGTTTAAATACATTCAAATCAACTCAAAGACTTAAATGTCACCAGTTTTACCATCTGAACGGAGCTCCTGGATCACATTAACGCAACGACGTGCATCTTTTTTTGCTTTTTTTGGGCCAGAATTTGCTTTTGCATCGTTACAAACAGCGACTTTGTTTGAATGTTTTGTCTGACCAGAGACGAGTCCTGAACACCAGCAGCGCTCCTCCGAGATGCACTCCAAGAAAACCGTCCTCATCAAGACCATCGAGACCCGCGACGGAGAGGTAAGGCGGGCGCCGTCCAACATTTTAGCTGTTTTTGGACTTCACCTGAACAGGTCGGTAGAATATGAGAGCGTCTCTGCAGCTTCGCAAAGGAAATATTCACATTTCTAGGCTTTAAGAAGACAAACAATCCAGTCTGAGGCACCTTTAAACTGGATTCTAGCACAGATTTTGCAGCAGCTGTTGAGGTTTTATCGCAGACTGATGGAACGTTTCAGCCACTTTCACTTATTGATCCGTTTAACCGGCGTCACTTCTGGACCCAAACTAATGGCCCCCACATCGATCAGTGATCAGGAGGTCGGTGTTGAGTTTGACTTCGTTCTGCTCCAAATAACCAGGTTCACCTCGTTATCAGCAGCCTGACGTGACCTGTTTCTGTTCTGGTTAAAAACGGTTTTGCGACCTGGAGACGTTTCGTCGCCGGGGAGCGACTGTGGCGACGCATGCAGCGACTAGTCGAGCCAAACAAACACCCTTCAGTGGAAACGGCTTCGCGGGAAAACAGGCGTCACGGGCGTGTCGGGGCAAGCGTCGCCTCCGATCTCAAAATCAAAGTGTTTCAGCCTGTTTTCGGCGCCGGCTTTTCTCACGGGGTCACGTTCTGGGGACATTCCTGAACGTTTTCTAGTCGAGACCAGGCGGATTTAAAAAGGAAATACGAGCGTTTCTGTTTAAATTCGCAGAGAATTAAGCTCATAAATGGAAAAGACTGATGACATCGCTGATATCTTAGACTTAATTTATCTCTATATGAGCAAATCTGTGGTTAAAAATGATTATACGTGATAATAAAGTGATCTTTAAAGACTTCAGACATCGATGAGCTGATAAATGGTGCATTTCAAACAAAACAAATTCTATTCTGCATCTTAAATAAAGTACAAATGATGCTTAAAAATGTTCCTGCCACTTCCTCCCCAACACCTGATCTGTTTCCTTGTGCATTGTGGGTATTTTGTTTTTGATCATATGCAGAATAAAACCCGCCACCAGCTCAAAACGCACTCAGAGCTACACACAAAGACTATTTTCGTACAGATTTTTTGCATTAAACAACCGTTATGTCTACAAAATGAGAGTAAATCGTTGTTTCGTTTCATCAGGATGAAGCTCGATGACTTTCCTGTTGGTCAAATGATCCGTTTCATTCGACTTGATGCTGATATATTTGCTTTTTCTAAACCTAATCCTGACTTTCTTGCCTTCAGGTTGTCAGCGAGTCGACGCAGCACCAGCAGGACATCATGTAAAGAAGAAGGCAGGAAACCAACACACTGCTGTCCGTCCATGATTCTGGACAGACGAAGAAAATAAATACTAAGCAAATAAAAACTAAGCAGAAAGACTTTACAACCTTCATGTTGGCCTGTACTGTTCTTGTTTGAAAGTACGTGAGCTGAAATCATCTCTGCTGACTTTAGATATCCACGCTGTTGTTTCTGCCTTCAACGTGCACCTAAAGACAGAAATAATCAACCGCAGCGGCGTCCACAGCAAGCCACGTGTCTAGATTACAGCTTTTTGCAGTGTATCACCAACGTACTCCATTTCTTTTGGCACCTAAAAGGGTAAAAGCACTTCAAGCATCCTCTTGAATAAGATGCACACGCTTAGCGCTCTAATTTAAGCCATTTCTCTGCAGCCAAACACTGATTAATTTTCACCACTCGGACTTGAAACATGAAAGCGCAGCGGCGTGGATTCTTCTGGTTTTCTAGGTTGTTTGCGCTGAAGGAGAGATAAAGAGGCGGAGATGGAGGAGGAGATTAAAAGGTGTCTGGAGATGAAACGAAGGATAAGACTTGGGGGGGGGAGGATGTGTGAGGCTGGAAATACGAAGAAACAGAGCAGAGGACGGGGCTGTCAGCAGGAAACGTAATCCGCTGTGACTTTCAAACATTATTGGCTAATAAAGGCAAAGTGGATTTCATGCATCTCAGCTGGTTGATGTCTTCATGTCCTTGCTCCGAAAGACGACTCGCACACACAGACTGCGTACAGGCCCGTAGGAACACATGCTTTAATAATTATAGTCGTAGTTCAGTTGTTTTTTTTAAAAGCATGGAGTTTTCTGGCCTACAGCGGTGACATTGCACTCTCCTTTACAGAACGGCTCAGGAAATAAATAAATCAGCAAATAAATACATCCCACCGGAAAAAGAATTAAATTAGAGTACTAAGAAAAGAAAACGAAGAAATGGTAAAAAAAAAAAAGAAAGAAAGTTAGTAAGTGCTGTGTTTTATGTACAAAGTTCACATCGATGCACATGGAGGGATGGGAGGGTGTTGGGCGGGTCGGAGGACTGGGTTCATGCATTTCGGCTTCTCACCGACAGGTAAAAACGTAGCGTAAACCCCCCCCGCCCTCCCCACACGTCGGCTTGCTTTCCCTTTAAAAAGGTAAAGACGCTAACAAAGTATTCACATTTTCACTGTTGACAAAAAAACAAACGTCCCAGATAAAGAAAAGTCAATGCACATGATGGAAGGAGTTGGTCTAAGTACAAGTTGTTATGGCCACGAGTCCACTTTGTTCATTCACACTCCAGCCTGTTTACACCGGCACCTCGCTGTAGTCCGTTCAAAAGGCTTTCTCACATTTCTCAGACGATTTTTTGGCTTTTAAAAAAAAACGGTCCAGGAAGCGGTTTCTTTGCAGCTAAAGACAATGATTGAAAAACTGAAACGCAGCCTAAAACTGTGAATTTAGATGAAATTAGCAGCCTGAAGCACAAATGCAACTGATTACCGACTTCCACTGGCTTAAATTTTCCATTTCAGTTCAAACACACAACTTCCAACAACAGAGCACATGGTTTCTAAAAGAGGATAGAAATGTTTTGGGTCATGTTTGCAGAAAAAGCTTCTCACGTTGGTTTCAAAAGGAGCCATCGCACAGATAAGCTCAACTTGGAAAGTAAAGGCTAGCTAGCTAGGCTAATTAGCTGGCTAGCTTTTTAACAGAAACGTCCATTTCTGTTAAAAAATAACAACAGTGCACGTGGTTTTAATAAGAAGATGTTTTTGGTCAAAAAACGTTATTTTTTTGTGTTTTTTTTAGCTTTGAGAAGGAGCCATCGTGCGGCTAAGCTCGAGCTTGGCTAACTAGCGGGCTAGCAGCAAGGTAGCCAACTCTAAACCCCTCATTTGCTAAAATAACAACAGTGCACATGGTTTTAATAAGAAGATGTTTTTGGTCATATTTGCGGAAAAAATCTTTATTCTTTTAGTTTAACGTTTTAGCTTTTAGAAGGAGCCATCATGCAGCTAAGCTCGAGCTTGGCTAACTCGTCGGCTAGCAGCAAGTTAGCCAACTTCAAGCCGCTCGTTTGTGTTGCTGTTGTCGGACTTGTGGAAACTCGGTCTTTTGTTCGTCTCGCATCAAAAAAAAATACGAGGGAGTGAGCTATTAGCATTAGCATTAGCATCATCAAGCATCAAAAATCTTGTTTGGGAGTTATCATCTACAGATTTTAAGTCATAACAAACCCCACAAACGTATACACCTGGATTTCATAGCAAAGTTTAACTCCAGTATGACCTCAGATTTAGAAGTTTAACACCCTCGCCGATGGTCTACAAATCTTTCAGCTGCTCTGATTCGCATTTCAAGCCGTCTCCTGGAGATTGTTTTTCACAGCAGTGATTAAAATGTCCAGCACAGTTTCTCAAACATCCCCCTACATATGTCTGGGGCGAGCTCTCCCGAGGTGCCAGTGTAAACAAGACCTCCTCAGCTGAAAGCAAATCCTCCTCACATATCCAGGCATCTGTGAAGACAACAAGCCGACTCCAGAAACGTTATACCCTGCTCGCTGTAGCTCCGCGGCTACATCCCTCCTCTCCCCTGAAGAATCCTCACATTTAATGCAAAAACAAGCCACTGATGGGGAACCTGCCAGTAACCCCCCTCCTGTCGCTGCGCTGCACAGTCCGAGGAGGGGCAAGGCACCCGTTTAAACAGATCCCCGGGCCTTCAGAGAGCAGTCTGACGCTTGAAGTAGTGTATTGTCCAGCACCAAGGGTGACAAAGGGTTTCCCCCTCTTTAAAAACGACATTAATTGTAGTCCAGATGGCACAGAAAGCAAATAAAGGATCCCGGTTTGCATTGAAGGGCCTTTACCTCCCTTCGTAGATGACTTCTAAAGAGGCCTACAGGCTGAGGAACTAGTTGCTTCTGCAGCATCGGTTGAGGAACGGTGGTAGAAACAGCAGAGTTGTGTTTTGAAGCCTGTGTCAGAACCTGAGGCGGGTTTGCAGTCTGATCCCTGATCTGTTTTAGCGCACAGGTCGGGTCCGGCAGGCTGCTTCGGGTTTTCGAACGGACCCCTTAAGATTGTAGCTGCAGTGTGTGTTTGTGTTAAGTGCATGCATGCATTTAGTGCATTTGGATCTACTGACAGACAGTGAAATAGAGGTCAATCGAACCTCTGCACCACACTGATGGCTCCAGGAGATTTATGGTCCAACATTTAATTAGTAAAGGGCTATTTTCTATCCTCGTAGGTGTGTGGCTAAACCCAGAATCTTTGCATTTGAACCCAGTGGTGGTTTGTCCCGGCACAGGCGTGGTTACACCCAGGTGGGGTAGTGATTGCAGAGTCACGTATCTCCCTGGTGCAGTGGTGTGTTCAGGCCTCCGGGAGGTGGCGGAGGTGTCAGACCCGTAGTGAAGGTCCTGCAGCTCCAGTGAGGGGCGTCGTGGATCCGCAGTCGTAGCCCATCTCCACCACGGCATGGGAGCCTCCGACCAGCCGGCCCGGGAAGGGCTGGGCCTGCACCTGCCGGTCCCGAAAACTCTGGATGTAGCTCTGGAAAAAAAAATGGTTCAAGAGAAAGTATGGAGTTAAACATGAACTCACATACAGTAAAACTTTAAAAGACTGGTTTCCTCCTGACTGCAAGATTTGAATTTTTCATTTAGCAGCAATTTAACATTCTTAATAATTCAGAAGAGAGATGAGAGGAAACTGTGGTGGTTTGTGATTGTTCACCATTTCTGGTTTTTACATGGTTTTAGGAGGAAATGCCACAGATCGCCTCCTAAATATATTTATCTGATATCAGAGCCAACAGAAAATGGAACAATAATCTCAGTCTTATGTCTGCCTTACATTAAAGAAATAAGGAAGTGAGCTATTAGCATTATCAGCATCGTCAAACACCAAAAATCCTGTTCGGTAATTCCATTTCCAGCTGGCTAGCTCTCAATCGGAAAGCAGCAGCCTGTTAGCCTAGCGTGCTAGCATCCTCACCGATTCAAAATACTCCTCATTTACTGTTGTCCAGCGCCTGCAAACTCAGTCCAACATAAAAAAAAAGAAGAAGGTGTTAGCTATTAGCATTAGCATTGTCACGCGGTCCTGTTTTCTAATTTCGCTCATTCTAAGTCCACAAGTCACAACAAACCCCACAGATGTCTATATCAAGAATAATATAAATATAACCAGAGTTTGACTTTAAATTTTGAAAATCTGCTGGAAGATGGTAGAAACATCTTTTAGCTTAGATTAGCAGTGAAAGTGAAAGTTCCAGATATCTTCCTTCGTATGTCTGGGGTGAGCTTCCACGACGTACCAGCGTAAACAGAGCTTTCTCCTTGTCAAGTGAAAGCAAATCATATTTAGCTGAACTAACAAAAATTGGAACAAAAACCAGTCCGACAACACTGCTGAGGCTCCTCACCGGCGAGAGGACGTCGGTGTCGTAGCGGCGGATGGGGTTGGGTTTGCGGCGGTAGGCCTGCTCGGCGTGGAGCTGCTTGGCCTGGTGGTGATGGTGGGAGGTGGAGCCGTGCTGCTGCTTCTTCTTCTTCTTGTTGCGGTAGCGGTCGTCCCGCTGGCGAATCCGCATCACCTGCATCCTCCTCTGCTGCCGGCTGATGATCACTGTGGAGGACGGAGGAAGGTTGGTGAGGAGAACATCTGACAGACTGATGCCTTACTACAGCTGTGGCTCTCAAAGTACTCCTTAATTACTGAAAATACCATCTAATGATGACCAAGAATGGGTCATCTTTATACAAACTCAAGAGGACCCATGAAGGTGCCTTGAGGAACTCCTGAAACTACACTTTTCTGAGGACAGTCTTCAGGAGACATTTATCCAGTACCTAAGGTGGAAGATTCAGAGTTAAAGAGCCCAAAGTGACACAGTGACAGAATTCATCCAGCAGATTTTAACTTCATCAGTAATTGGGAGGCGACTCCACCTCTGAAGCTGGTTTCTACACAGTCCGCTGACTGTCCCTGAACACACCATGATGCTGAGCACACACAGCTATTTGATTTTACATTCAGTCAAACCAGTGACCCGCACCACAGACGAGCATCCCAGCCAGTTTTCCTCACCCTTGGTGTGGGAGTATCCCTCAGCGGTCACCTTCCACTGGACCATGACGCCCAGCAGGGTGAGGGCGGGCCACACCCCGAGCACCACCCACGTCAGCCAGCACACCGGCTTCCCGGACTCGGCTTTTATCCGCTCGTACATGTAGAACACGAGGGCGAAGAGCTCTATGAAGTAGTCCAGCGCCACCGTGATGACCGCCGCGCCGAACACCGCCGTGGACAGCGTGGTAAAGAGCCGCTGCCACTGCAGGGTGAGCACGGCGAACAGCATGCCCAGGCCAAGCAGCACGCCCAGGGGCACCCAGACGGAGCGCGGGGGGCTGTCGGACAGCTCCTCCATGCCCACCAGGGTGGCCACGGCCACCAGCAGGCCCAGCAGCAGGCCCACCATGAAGAGGCCCACGCTGCGAACCAGCATGGTGACCAGGCCGCAGAGCGTCCCGATGCCCAGGCCGATGCCCACTGAGGCCTCCACGCTCAGCTGGGTGTCCAGCACGCGCTCCTTGTAGCAGAGCATGAAGATGACGACGGAGCCGAACATGAGGCCCGTCAGGAACATCACCGCCTTGAAGCAGCGATATCCTGAAAGAAGAGCAGGAAACATGAACATCAACAGGCACAAACCAGTCACATGGGAGGAAACTTTATTGATCCCCAAATGGAAATTCTTCTGCCACATATTGCTCAGACAGAAAAATAATAATGATGACGCAAGAAACGCAGGTATGACGGAGCATTAGGGCCACATTAAGAAAAACATTCTTCCACAGACTTTGAGAATAAAATAGTAACTCTATGAGAACAAAGCTGTAATTTTACCAGAATAAAATCGGAACTATATGAGCATGAGGTTGTAACTTTACGAGAATAACGTTGTAATGAATAAAGTCAGAATTTTACAAGAACAAAGCTGTAATATTGCAAGAATAAAGTTTTAATATTACGAGAATAAAGTTTTAATATTACGAGAATAAAGTCGTAATGTTTAAACCAGTTGTTTTAGAGGAAAGTTGTCAAATGAGGGCTGAGGAGCATTTTGTGAAGGTGTACTTCAGCATCGGTTTCACCACGGCCCTCATTTGAACAACTTTCTTCTTCTAAAACAACTGGTTTGATGAAAGTACGATGCAGGACTGAAACCAAACAAGCTGAACTAAGGCTAGAATGGAGCAAAAAGTGATGCTGGCACCATATGACACCTCGTAGCGCTTCACACAGCGAGGCGAAGACCTTATGAATTAAAAAAGACAAAAAACAAACAGAGCAGCCAACAAGCCGAAGCTGTCTTTGGACTCCCTAAGAGCCAGCAGTTGGCAGACGGTGGGAAGGAACCGAAAAAAACGCTTCAACGGGAAGGAAAAATAAAAAAACCTCCAACAGAACCAGGCTCAGGGACGGCGGCCATCTGGGGATGAGATGATGTCACACACGATAACGGGAAAAATGAAATGAGATGTTCTATTGGACCTGAAAAGTGAAATAAATGCGACGCATGTTATAATCACTGTTTGGATTCAAGAGTCCGATGTCGAGCTGTGGACAAAGACAAAAAACCGCCCGGTACCAGAACCAGTTCTCACAGAGTCCAACTCACCAAAGAAGCAGTAGATGATGCCGAAGAGGCAGCACATGGAGCAGACGACGGAGGGAACCACCTTGTAGCGGCCGGCCGAGTCCTGGCAGCCGTCCAGCCACTCGGGGCCCAGCTCCTGGTCCGGGTGGGCCAGCAGGGTCTCCAGGGTGGTCGTCATGGCCAACGGGGCAGGAGGAGAGTCGGCCGAGGAGCGACGGAGGAGGAGGAGGAGGACGGGCGATCAGGTGGGAGGCGAGGGACCGGGCCGGTTATGGAGCGCTGCCCAGGTGCATGGCTTCACCTGAGAGAGGAGGAACCGGGTCAGTCATCAACAACGTAGACGAGGATGTGATTTAACGAGCACTCAGCGAGGCAGCGCTTCGTCCTCGTGGGCCACAAAACTCAGCCAGCTTTGATTGTTTTTATTGATTTGTGACTATTTTTGGAGCTAATTTAATTTGTTGATTTCTCTATTTGGTCACGTATTTATTTAGATTCACTGCTGCATTACTTCATCTTTCTTTCTTCAGTTTAAAGAGATGATGTGTTTATCTTGTTTATTGCGTGCATCGTTAATAATCCCTGTGTGTTGGAGTCCTTCGTTTGCAGCATGAAGGTTGTTGTTTATGGCTTTTTTAAATTCCTTTCATCTGTAAAGCACTTTGTGTGTCATCTGTATGAAAACTGCTTTTTAAATCGTCTGATCCGGTTACATCTAAATGCCTTTGAACGACAAATACATTCACCACAGTTAAAGTTTGCTCGTTATAAACTACAACACATTTAATTAAGTAGATTTTTATCTGAAACATGGAGATAAAAACAGATCAACTCCTGTGTTCACTAACAAACCAGCAGAACATGCATTGAAGTGAACACATGGCGTCTCTGCATGTTGGATTTCAGCAGAACCACCACAAACCGACTCATCTGAACCAAACGATTTGTAAAAACGCAGCCGAAGCTGATGTGATTTTAAAAAAATCAAAGCCTGAACAACCACCTGCCCGATGTGACGGCGTCGCTGCCGGCTGACTGAGCAGCTCTGATGGAACAGACTCTGCTCTGTGCGCACACACAGCTTGGCTTCACCCTCCACGGCGGAAGCTCAGGACCAGAATAGATCCGATCGCAGCGGGCGCTGGAGCGACGGCAGCCTCTCGTCAGCGTTTGATCACGAGGCGAGCAGCGCCGCCCTCCAGGTCGATCCGGCACAGACACGAGCTCCGAGTCATCCGGGCTCGTGTGAGGTCAGAAGATGAGTTCAGATGGACGTGGTGAAGCTGCTGCCGTGTCCTCGAGTTCCCCCGTCTGGACCAGAACTCTGTGTCGGGGCTTCTCCTGCCCTCCACCACGCTCATCTGGTCTGTGTGGTTGTTTCTGGGGCTTTTCTAACGGCACACTACAGCAGGGTTTGGGACAGTTTTGACCTCATGTCATTTTATCTTTTGTGGCACTTCTGACAGCATTATGTGTCGTTTATGTCATTTTCACGTTTTACTACATTTTTGACGTTGTACGATTCAATAACATCTTTTTTGGGGGGAAATCTTTGATGTTTTTTTTGTATTTTTTTGTACATTTTTGGCAACACAGTTCTATTGTTTTTTTTTTTTTTTGGTCCTTTTTGCCGTTTTTGTTGCATTTTGACGTCATACGATTCTATGATTTTTTTTGGGAGACGACTTCTTACATTTTTGGCATCATATGATCACACAGTGTTTTTGTGTCACATTTGACAACATATAACATAACATGTGACACAATAATATGTGTTTTTGTCATTTTTCTGGCATTTTTGACGTCATATGATTCTATAACTTTCTTGGGGGGCAATTTTTCTAAACATTTTTTTGGCACTTTTGACAACTTACGACTTACGTTTTTGTTTTTTTGTTGTTTTTTTTTTACATTGACAACATAACCATGTGGTGTTTTTGATGTTTTTGTGACATTTTTGACAACATATGATTCTATGGCGTTTATTTTTTGGTCCTTTTTGCTGTTTTTTTGTTGTTTTTGTCATTTGTTAAGTTTTTGACATATTTGACATATTTCTGGCATTTTTTTGGGACATTTTTGACGACATATGATTCTATTAAGTTTTTTGTGGTCAATTTTTTTCTTCTTTTTTTGGCATTTTTGGCAACGCACAATTCTATGGTGTTTTTTTTTTTTGGTCCTTTTTGCTGTTTTTGTGGCATTTTGATTTTATACAATTCAAAAACCTATTTTTTGACATTTTTCTGGCATTTTTGACGTCATACGATTCTATAACTTTCTTGGGGGGCAATTTTTTTGTACATTTTTTTTGGCACTTTTGACAACGACTTACATTTTTGTTTTTTTGTTTTTTTTTACGTTGACAACATAATCATGTGGTGTTTTGACGTTTTTGTGGCATTCTGACGTCACATGATTCTATGACTTTATTTGGGGGAGACAACTTTTTACATTTTCGTGGCACTTTTGGCATCATACGATCACACAGTGTTTTTGTGTCATATTTGACAACATATAATTATATCGTGTTTTTGTCATTTGTTAAATTTTTGTGACCTTTTCGGCATCGTACAGCATTTTTGACTTATTTGACATTTTTCTGGCGTTCTTGATGATATACGAGTTTTGTTGTGGTCAATTTTTTCGGTTTTTGTGGCAGTTTTGGTAACACACAATTCTATGGTGGTGTTTTTTGTTTTTTTTGTCCTTTCTGCCGTTTTTGTGTCATTTTGACTTCATACAGTTCTGCAGCGTTTTTGACATTTTAAAAGTTTTTGTGTCATTTTTGACGTCATACGATTCAAAAACCTGTTTTTGGGCTGTTTTTGACGCTTTTGTGGCATTTTCGAGGTCGTACGATTCAATAACCTGTTTTTGGGCTGTTTTTGACGCTTTTGTGGCATTTTTGACGTCGTATGATTCAGTAATGTTTCTTGGGGGCAATATTTGACATTTTTGTGACATTCTTGTCGACATACGATTCTATGGGGTTTTTTTAATTTGTCAGTTTGGATGTTTTTGTGGTATTTTTGTGATATTTTTGTGGTCATACACTTCCATGGCGTCTTTCTCATTTCTGATGACGTTTGATTCTATCATGCGTCCGGGACATTCTCTGTTTCTTTTGTCTCGCTGTGGTTCATGACGTTCTCATCTTGCACGTCTCTCTCTGGCTGCTGAGCTGAAGCCTCCTGCAGGTATCTGAGCATCCATACTTCAGTCTCGTACCTTTAACCTTTAACAGCTTCTCCGGTTTCCCTCCTTTTTGTTTCCCCTCCTGCAGCCTCATCTGTATTCCAGGAGAGGCCTTTGTTTAAAGCACTCGATAAATAAATCCGCCTTGACTTTCTCCGTCTCTGCGCCGCCCTTAATTGTTCACTTCGGTGCAGTTGAGCGTCTGCCGGCGAGCGCCTGTCAGCTGACTTCCTGCTGGATCTCACCTTGTCTTTCACCTCGCCGCCTTCATTATTCAGACGGCTCTTTGTCCTCGCCGTCTTCTTCCACGGTCCGCTCAACCTTTCCTTCCCGCTGAGAACAAAAGGCTCTGCTGTACGTAGCGACACGTCCCAAAGTCTTCGTCTACAAACTTGCACATTCTGACAACAGGACGTGTGTTGATGTCAGACTGTACGAGTGATGCATTGAGAGTGCAGACGAGGACAAAACCACAGCAGAGAGCAGCGCTGCCGACTGTCTTCAGCCTCCTTCACCTCCTTCCCACGCCTCCCCTCTCCTCCCCCTCCGGCTGTTTTCGTTCCCTCCATCTCGGGGTGAGTTCAGTCCGACTGCACAAGGTTTCTGGGTCAGAGGTGCTTATGCAACTCCTGTCTCGGGAACTTTACTCTAATATTCATGCGCTGCCTCCTCGACTTTCCTGCCTCTTCCTTTGTTTCCTTCTCGGTTACAACCTGCCGTCACCGCCCTCCCTGTTTCTAACTCACTTCTTCTGTTTGTTCCCACGACACTCACGAACATCACAGCGTTCTAATAATGTTATCAAGACAACGTTTTCTCATCCGTGTTGTTGTTGTTGTGACATTTTTGATGACATGATTCCATCACGTTTTTGACATTTTTTTAAAAACATTTTTGACTCCGTGCTATATGATACTCTGACATGTTTGTGTCGATTTTTACATTTTTGTAACATTTTGTAACATTCTTTACGTTTCTGTAACATTTTTGTAACATTCTTTATGTTTTTGTGACATTTTTGATGACATACAATTCGACATTTTTGTGCAATTTACATTTTTTCTTTATTGAATTATTTTGGACACCATATCACACTATAATAAGACTTTCTGTGTCATTCTTGATAACATACATTTTGAACATTTTTGTACTACTGTGACCACGTGTGATTCCGCACATTTTTTAAAATTGTTGTTATGTTTTTGTGACATTTTTGATGACGTGATTCCATCACATTTTTGACATTTTTTAGAAACATTTTTGACGCCGTGCTATATGATACTCTGACATGTTTGTGTCGATTTTTATGGTTTTTGTAACATTGTTGTAACATTCTTTGTGTTTTTGTAACATTTTTGTAACGTTCTTTGTTTTTGTAACTTTTTTTAAACATTCTTTATGTTTTTGTTACATTTTTGTGCAATTTACATTTTTTCTTTATTGAATTATTTTTGACACCATATCACACTATAATAAGACTTTTTGTGTCATTTTTGATAACATACAATTTGAACATTTTTGTACTACTGTGACCACGTATGATTCCGCACATTTTTTAAAATTGTTTTTATGTTTTTGTGAAATTTTTACGACATACGATGTTACGTTTCTGCCCCGTCTTTAAAGACATACAAGACTGGCATTGTTCTGTCATTTTAACGTTTTTGTGGCTTTTTAAAAAACATTTTTATTTTTTACATTTTTGATACTTTTTGACAACATACAATTCGACAACCTCTTTGTGCAATTTTTATTATTTTTTAAATTTTTTAAAAATTTTTACAACTTTGACGCCATACCATACTAAGACTATATTTATGACATTTTTTGTCAACATGTGATTCTACTTTTTTGTGACATCTTTGAAGACAAACGATATTCTGGCATTTTTGTCATATTTTGTCTTTGTCGATTTTTCATGACATATGACTCGATGACTGTACCATCAGCATCTTCTGTCGTCTGCATACCTCGGTTGGT